TCAGCTGAAGTAGCACCAACCCATTTCACTCTCCCATTTCTCACCCTCTCCCTCTCTCTCTAAGGGAACAAGAGTGAAGAAGAACTAGAGAGAAGATGAAGGTTGGAAATGGAGATGAAGGTGGACGATGAAGTGAAGGGATGCAATGCAAGATCATCATCTCATCAAGGTCAAGCCATTCATATCTCATGATCATGGTTAGCTCATGAGCCCTCATCTCTTTAGTTGAAGATTTCTCTCAAACCCTAATCTCAACCTCTCATGCATGTATGGAACATGGAGTGTGGTGACCTCTCATTCATCACAAAGGCAAGGTGTGCTCAATCTCTCATCATGAAGTCTAGCATCTCATGATCCCCAATCTTGGAGTTGAGCCCTCTTGCTCAATCTCATGTATTTATCACAAGTAGTTCATGGGAAGAGACTTAGCCAAATCACTAGATGCACTAGATAGCCAAAGCCAAGACTCAGCTAACCTTACCCTAGCATATCCCCAAGGTCATCCTAGGAGTCTAGTGCACATGCATGGATGTTCACCACTCCAAAGTAGCAACTAACCAAACCCAAACATAGAGCATAGGTTCTGTCGCCCGATTGGCGGAGTGTCCGCCGATGTGGTGGAGTGTCCGATAAACCTCCCCAATTTAGTAAACCTCCCAGTAGAGGCACCTAGACCATTATGAGTGTGAACAATGGAGTGTCCGACTATCGATCGGAGTATCCGCTGCATTATAGACCCACAGCCAGAAGAACCCGAGAGCACTAAGCTCCTACCGGATCGCCCGTCACTCACTTCGAAGCATCCGATAAATTATATATAGAGTAACCCAGTAACCCGAGAGTGCCCAAAACCTATCGGAGCATCCGTGAATAATGCAGAGCATCTGCCAGAGCCTGAACAGGGCCAACCAAAAATGACTCACCTCGACACCCGGCACAGCGGAGTGTCCGTCAGTCGAAATGGAGTATCCGACAGTCACAGAGAGTGTGAGTTTAATTAACAAGCTTACCTAGACAAGTCAATAACACTAGTTACTATCCCAAGCCAGCAACACAATAGTAGACCCACCATTAGATGTCACTTCCTAGGAACCAATAGTGATCTATCCATATTCCTCATCATCATTCCAAATCACCGGTGAATCTCTTCAATCGGATCTCTCTCGCTCTTTTCAGGAATCGTCTCGATAAGAAGCGCGTATAGGATGTCATCGTCAGCTTCTAGATGTCTGAACGGCAACACCATCAGGCAAGCACCCCACTATTATGAACCCTACTTTGGATACTTATCAAGTCGCATTATGAGTTATGCATTGCATGTAGAGTTGGATAATGAACTCTTTCACATAGCACTTAGAGTAACTCTTTAATCTGTTAGAAGCCTCTCATCTTAACAATGGGAATGGGAATGCTTAATGCTTATTGCTTAGTTGCTTGGGCAATGGTAGAAGTTGAGCATGAGAAGGGAACTCATACTCGTGCGTGTAGGATGCTTCACCTGGATAATTAACTACTAAAACCAATGAGGATACAACTTGACTCATCTTACTAATCTAGCTAAGGAATAATATCCCTAATATGATAATCTTGATGATAACTTGGATATATTGCTCATGCGAGAGGTAGGTCATCGTGAGTGTGGGATCTCAGATGACATAGCTCGTGGAGCAATAAGGACCGTGTGTTGGGATACGTAAGTCCGAGTAACCACCCGTACATACCACATGTTGTGGATGGGTTCGACAAGCCAAGTAACTAGTTGTGACCTGTTTATCCGTGAAACTGGCAAGGGGGTGGCATCGGTCGGGAATGTCCGGGACATTCATCAGGAACCCAGTCGAACCTTTCATGTGACACTCGGGCCGGATTAGGGAAAGGTTGGAGAATGTGAGGCAACCCTTACTACCGGACCTAGTGTATGGTGGTTAGTCTCATTTTCCGTGTGGGTACAGTTGTACACCTCTGCAGAGTCTTAAAAGCCTAGAGTTCTTTGGGACGGAACTATTCGGTTGTTCTTTCTTTCTATACCCATGGTAGAATGAATGATGGACTATGAGCACTTTTGCTATATTGGTAAATACTGTAATTCTAATGTTGAGCATAGCATGTCATACTCTTAACGAATATCATTGCTTTCCGTAACCATACAAATTCCTGATAATTACCCTATGCATCCACCAAATCTTATATGTTGGAATTAAGTCCTGCGAGTATGCAATGTACTCACGGTGCAGCTGTTAAGTTGTTTTGCAGGTAATCAGGGCATCTACCCGAGACTAGCTCCGGTGAATGCAAATGTTAGTAGACCTTGGAACAGGCGTTCTCCAAGATGAACTGCATGTAATTCGACGAGTAGATGAGCGACAAGTGTGGCAACCCAGTGCAGGGATAGAGTTGATGGGAGCATTAGACTTAGTAGTAACCCTATTCTCTTAAATCCTATTTTGTTATCAACAATGTTTCAGAAACAAGCGTGAGACTGGAGCGCATATGTGATTGAGTTGCCTGGTATGCATTGTATTGGGTATGTGTGTGTAACTCAGCACAAAGATCCTGAAGAGGAGTTGCTACGTGTGCTCCTGGGGACCTCGCGATGTTGATTTGCTTAAATTAAGGGGTCAAGTGGTCGACACTCGATTTAGGTGTATTAACGCGTCGGGTACCTCACAATACTTGTGTTCCCGGACACCTTATGTGCACAAGTCTTGAGCCCAAATATTTCCCAGATAAAACCATTCTTGAGGCATCTGCAAAGGGGGGCAGTTCATATACATGGAGAAGTATTTTGAAAGGGGTTCAATTATTGAAACAAGGTTTAATCTAGAGAATTGGAGATGGTTGTTCTGTAAACATTTGGAGGGATCCCTGGATACCAAGAAACTTCTATAGGAAGGTAATTACTCCTCAAAGGAACTCAATCCTCCAAAAGGTGGCTGATCTGATCAATCCTATCACCTGTTCTTGGGATGAATTATTAGTTAGAGATACCTTTTGGGAGGAAGATGCAAGTATCATTTTATCGATGCCACTATTTGAGAATATAGAGGATTACCCTGCTTGGCATCCAGACCCAAAAGGGATGTTTTCAGTAAAATCAGCTTATGCCTTGAGCATCAGCTTACACCATGTTCGCTTGATCGTTTCTGTGGCTTATAAGCTGGTTGATGCTGTTTTGTTTTGAGAGAAAAATACTATATCATAGCTGATAAACATGGCTGATACAATGGATGCTTCATCCTCTTCTTTAGCTACCTGCAATTTTGATTGGAAGAAAATATGGAGGATGAATGTTGCTAACAAAGTGAAGGTATTTGTATGGCAGTTGGCCCACAACTCCTTACCAGTGCAAATAAATATTGCTAAAAGGGGTGTTAAATTGAATACTATCTGCCCAGTATGTCATAGATTTGACGAAGATGTCGGCCACTTTTGTTTTTCAAATGCAAAGAAATACGGAGATGTTGGCTGCTGCTTAATCTTGAAGAGGTGAGAATTATCCTGCTATCACAAGCATCTATCCATGACATGTTGGAGAAAATCTGGGGCTACGAAGAGGCAACACAACAAAAAATAATCTTACTTTTATGGTGTTGGTGGTCCGCTCGCAATAAAGTTAATGCAGGGGAGAGGGCGAAGAGAGCTCAAGAGGTGGTAAATGATGTTCTGTATTATTGGCAGGCCTGGAACCGAGCTCACCCTCAAAATATGTCAAAAAGTAACACATCTGGAAAACCAAAATGGAGTCCTCCACCTGTGGATTATTACAAAGTTAATTGTGATGGAGTTTTTCTTTCTCAATATAATAAAGGTGGATGGGGATTTGTTATTCGAGATCATGAAGGCCAATTTGTTGCAGCTGGTGCAGGGTCTGAAGAGCACCTAATGAGTGCAGAACATTCTGAAACGATAGCCTGTTTGAAGGGGTTGGAGTTGGCAGCTTCCCTGGGTATGCAGCGTATTATTGTGGAGACGGATGCTGCTGTTGTGTCTAAGGCGATGGAAGATCCTGGCTTCGACAGATCCCCTCTCGGTGCCATATTTAGAGAAATTAGAGCTAGAATGGTGTCTTCAGTCTGCTCTATTTCTCATTGCCCTCGGGCTTGTAATTCAGTTGCGCATACTGTAGTTGCTTTTGGTCTTAATTGTGTAAATGGGCCTGTAATCTGGCAGGAACATGTCCCTGACTTTGTAGCTGTACTAGTGTCCAGCGATTTGCCTGCACAATATGTTTAATTAAGTCTATGTTTTCAACAAAAAAAACATATAAGTATATAACAGAATGAGAGGTATGAGCTTTATTTCTTGCTTGTGGAGTACATGAATATCTGTATACAGAGAGAAATGTCCTTCAGCTCTCCAATCCATCTCCGTTATAGATGGGAGGATAGTATGAAATTTCTAAGCAACTTCCCTCGTTAATTTGTCCACCATCAAAGTCATATTTTCACATTGGAGTGCGTACTTTGATTTGATCACGTTCATGCCACAGAAAGCAAGATGTCTATACCAAGGGTTTGGGAGTCCATACTCCCATCTACAGACCTAAAATTACATGTCCATTAGAATTAACAACAGGCTTCTAACAAAATAAATGTCCTACACCGATTGGCTAAATGGCAAACAACAGGCTTCTACCAAAATAGATGTCCTATATCTATTGCCAAAATGGTGCACGGTATCATCGCTCATCACAGGTGCTGCCAGAACCTCAAAATTGACAGCATTCTCACAGCATGGGCATACGTGGGCAAGAACTACAGCTGTGGTTCTATACCAGCTGTGGACCTAAATCAGAAATGTTACAACACACCAACCAGTCAACGCAACACGCTGCCACGCATGCTCAGTAAGTGTTCTGAGGGTTGAATCGCCTCCTAGCATCGCGCTTATAGTACGGCGTGTCATCGATGGTCCTCCTCACATACTCCATGAACTGCTGCGGCGTACGAGGAGAGAACTGACCATTAGCCGGTGACACAGGGTCAGCCATGGCTGCAGGATTAGCTGCTGGTGCTCGTGCTGCTGGTTGCTCGTGCTGGTGTGGATGCTGCCATGTTCCTTGATGGTGCCTGTCTAGTAGGTCTCTGCAGCAACTTCATGAAAAGTGCAACAGTAACTATTGTCACAATGATGCACGTGAGCATAGCAGCAGATGTGGTTAGGCCCCATGATGATGGTGGCTCTGCCTTCTCTCCTGTATCGTAGCTGACTTCAACTTCTTCAGTCTGACCTGCACAAAGGTAATACACAAATAGTAACTTCCACAGTATTGCAATTGTTAGAATAATGGCCAACCAAATGTATTACCCGGTCCCAAGTAGAGGGAAAATACTACACACACATCTATACATCTAACAACCCCCTCAAACTTAGGGTGGATCTACAACACTGAGTTAGGAGAGCAAGAATCTATGTTGGGCCTATGTCTGTGCCTTGGTGAAGAAATCCGCTAGCTGAACCTCGGAAGGCACGTGGTGAAGCGTCACAACCTGATCGTGCACCTGCGATCTCATGTAGGAAGCATAACACACCAATGTGTTTGGTGAGCTCATGCTTGACCGGACCCGAGCAATACTAATCGCACCGGTGCTATCACAAGAAAGAGGAGTGGGTGCAGTAGCAGGCACACCAAAATCCTCAAGAAGCCATCGTAGCCATGTCACCTCCGCAATCGCAGTCGCCATAGCACGCAGCTCAGCCTCAGCACTCGAGCGGGAAACGGTAGTCTGCTTCTTGGTTTTCCAGGCAATCAAGGAGGAGCCAAGGAAAACACAATAAGCTGAGAGAAAGTAACGATCAGTGAGATCACTTGCCCAGGTCGCATCAGAGTACGCCTGAAGCTGGAGAGAACTAGAGCGAGGGAAGAAAAGGCGGCGGGAGATGGTTTCGCGAAGGTATCGCAGAACACGAAGGAGGTGAGCATAGTGGAGCTGGGTAGGAGCCGAGACAAACTGACTCAAGATATCAACAGAGTGAGAAATATCAGGACGGGTGATCCCAAGATAGACAAGGCTCCCAACAAGCTGGCGATAGTGAGTGGGATCTGCAAGGGGTGCACCATCAGTGGGTCGGAGGTGAACACCAAGCACCATAGGAGTATCAACAGTGCAGTGATCAGTGAGAGCAGCACGAGAAAGGAGATCCTGAGTGTACTCCTCCTGAGAGAGAAAAATACCGTCAGATGTGGAGGTGACCTCAAGACCAAGGAAGTAACGAAGAGGACCCAAATCAGACATGAGAAATGTCTCACTGAGCCGCTGCTTCACAAAGGCAATGGACTGAGAGTCGTCACCCGTGATGATCATGTCATCCACATAGAGAAGAAGTGTGCGACCACGAGGAGAAGTGTGAACAAATAGAGCAGGATCGTGGTCACTAGGCTTGAAGCCAGCATCGATGACAACAGAGGAGAAATTCTCGAACCAAGTGCGAGGAGCTTGCTTAAGACCATAGAGGGAACAACGCAACCGACAAACCATCCCATCAGGAACGGAGTACCCTGGAGGTGGCTGCATATAGACTTCCTCACATAGCTCACCATTGAGGAAGGCGTTCTTGACATCCAACTGAGAGATCGACCACTGACAAACAGATGCAACAGCGAGAAGGGTCCAAACAGTGGTCATGTGAGCAACAGGAGCAAAGGTCTCCTCAAAGTCAACACCGTACTCTTGCTAGAAACCACGCGCCACAAGGCGAGCCTTGTAGCGCTCAAGAGAGCCATCTAAGCGAGTCTTGACCCTGTACACCCACTTGCATGTGATAGGGGTGACGCAAGGTGGCAAAGGTACAAGATCCTAGGTGCCAGTACTCTCTAGGGCAGCAATCTCCTCGGCCATAGCATGCTGCCACTCCGGGTGAGTAGCAGCCTCCCGATAGGTCGTAGGCTCAACCAAGACGGTAGCGCCGTAGCGGTGAAACCAAGACAATCAGGAGGACGAAGTGTGCTACGGTCACGAAGAGCATAGCGAGGAGAAGACTCAGGAGGAGGTCCAAGGACAGATGGGGAAGAGTCAGGTGGGGTGCAGGTCACTACCGATGAGTGTAGTAGTGAGTGATCTCACGAGGACACATCGATGGCGGAGGAGGAGATACTGGTGTGGAGGGAGAGGGTGGAGGAGGAGGAACTGGAGGCGAAGGGGTGTCCGGTGGAGGCTTAGGGTGAGACCCAAGGAGGGAAGGAGAGGAGTCCGGCAATGGAGTAAGACTTGGACAATGGGTGGAGCAGCGAGTGTGCTCGCGAGGGGAAGCAACCGGGGAGAGAGGAACAACCGGTAGAGGAGGAGCAACCGAAGGCAAAGGTTTAGGCTGAGATGGAGAAATAGGCAGAGGGAAGGAAGGCAACGGAAGAGATAAATCAGGAAGAGTAAGGAAAGAGAGGGACGAGCTGCTAGAGGAACGAGGATAGTAGGAGCAGGATTCATTAAAGGTGACATCCCGAGAAATCTGCATTTGTCAAGCAACAGGATCATAGCAGTGATAGCCCTTGTGTTCAGTGCTATACCCCAGGAAAACACACTCAACCGACTAAGCAGTCAGTTTAGTGCGCTCACGAGGCGGAAGAAGAACATAGCAGACACAGCCAAAGCAATGAAGATGGTCATAGGAAGGAGGAGAACCGAAAATCGTTGGTAGGGAGTAGAGCCCTTAAGAGCAGAGGAGGGCTGTCAATTAATGAGAAAAATAGCCGTGGAAACAGCCTCAGCCCAAAAATGTGGAGCAAGATCAGCGGAAATGAGAAGAGCATGAGCTGTCTCGAGAATATGGCGATGCTTACGCTCAGCAACACCATTCTGAGCATGAGCACCAGGGCATGAGAATTGTGGAAGAGTACCCTGGTCAGCAAGATAACGCCGATGTGCATCAGAAATGTACTCGCCAGCAGAGTCAACACGAAAAGCACGAATGGGAGAACCATACTGAGTGCGAACCATAGTAGCGAACTGCTGGTAAATGGAAAGAAACTGACCACAAGATGACACCAGATAAACCCAAGTGAATCGTGAATAATCATCAATAAAAATAACATAGTATGAGTGACCCCCTTTGGAAGTGAAGGGAGCACGACCCCATACGTCAGAATGGACAAGATCAAAAGGACGTTGCGACACAGATTCACTGGAAGGATATGGCAGTTGCGCCTGTTTGCCAAGTTGGCAACCAGTGCAATGGAGAGCACTCTCACCAGAAACCAGACCTAGAACACCGTTACCAACCAAAGTGGACAGTCTAGCACCTGATAGATGACCTAGACATCGATGCCACTGAGCAAAGGTAGGTGCAGATGACGCAACCGACACAGAGGCAGGAGAGCTGGATGGTTGGCTAGCAGGAGGAGAAGGAAGATGCAACCAGTCAAGCTCCCAAAGACCCTGAGAATCTCGATGTCGAGGCCCTGTCCCTACCAGAAGGCCCGTATGAATATTCTGAACACAACAAGAATCCGCCTCAAGAATGATACGACAACCGTGGTCAGTGATCTGTCCCGCAAACATCAACTGCATAGTGAGCTGAGGAACATGAGAAACAGTAGGAATGTGGAAAGAGGTGGTGAGAGTGCCACGACCAACAACAGGAAGAGACGTGCCATTAGCCGTATGCACAACGGAAGATAAATGGGGAGATGTAATGATGACAAATGAGTGGGATCAGGAGTTATATGGAAAGAGGCGCCAGAATCCAGGAATCACTTAGAAGAGATGCCTGGGTGTGAGGGAGGAGTGGATGCCAAGGGCGACACAGAGGCAGTGAGACGATGAAAAAGTGCAAGAATCTCCTGCTCCGCAATAGAAAGCGAACAAGGACCTCGTAGGGTGGAGGCACCACAGCGACCAACGAGTGATTCCCAATCACCACCGGGGATGACGGGGACAACATAGGCGGCGTGGGCGAGAACGCCGGGAGGGAGGTGGCAGGCAAAACAGTGGTCGCCTGTGGAGAACAACACACACCCTCAATAGGAAGCCGAGGATCCCAAACATTATGCAGCTACATTTTTTTTTTTTTTTATAAAGCAGAGGAGGGGAAAACAGAGTAGAGGAGGCCGCGCGGGCTAGAGCGAGCGCGGACAAGAGCCGCACGGGTTGGGAGGGTGCGCGGGTGGGAGACCGCGCCGTGTGGAAGGGAGCACGAGCAGGAGGCCGCGCCGAGCGGGAGGGAGCATGGGCGGAAGTCTGCGCCGGGCGCCGGAAGGAGGGCGCGCGGGCGCGACCGGTCAACGCGAGTGGCGGGGCGCAGGGCCACGTGGGATGGCGCGACAGGCTACGCGGTGCGGGGCCACGCAGTCCAACGGCCAGGCGCAAGCGCGGGCAGCCGACGCATGCGGCTGGCGGCCGGCGCTTGGACCGGTGCATGCGGGTGTCGGTCCGCGCAGTGGTGCCGTGGCGCGAGCGAAGGGAGCTGCACAGGGCCGGCACGGATGAGGGGCGCGGACGAAGGCACGCGAGGGTGGTGGGGTTGTTAGGTCGCCGACGGCTCAGCAGAAGGTGATAATCAAACCCTAGCTTCATATCATGTTAGATTAGTGGCCAACCAAATGTAAGGGGGGATTCCCTATGTGCCATTAAAAAAGATCGCAATGCCCTGTGTGCCTCTAGAAAAGTTCAGCGGTCTTCAGCGCCACTGCTCTAACTTTTTTGTGCCGTCTATGCCACTGCCGTCAGTTTGGGGTCTAACGCTGTCAAACTGCAGGTGTGAAAAGTCGAAAATACTCTTATGTCTAAATATGTCATTAATTTTTTTGAGCATCTTAACGACTTCAAATGAAAAAAAACTCAAAACTAGAAAGTTGTAGATCTCGTCGAGATCTATAATTTTCATATAAAAATTATTTTTATTTAATTCCGCAAAAAAAAGATATGATTTTTCTAAAATATATTAATCATATCAAATCATCTTTTTTTTGCGGAATTAAATAAAAATGATTTTTATATGAAAATTATAGATCTCGACGAGATCTAAAACTTTCTAGTTTTGAGTTTTTTCATTTGAAGTCGTTAAGATACTCAAAAAAATTAATGACATATTTAGACATAAGGGTATTTTCGAGTTTTCACACCTGCAGTTTGACGGCGTTAGAGCCCAAACTAACGGCAGTGGCATGGAGGGCACAAAAAAGTTGGAGCAGAGCCGCTGAAGACCGCTGAACGTTTTTAGAGGCACGCAGGGCATTACGATCTTTTTTAATGGCACAGAGAGAATTCCCTCAATGTATTACCAGGCCCCAAAGGCAGATATACAAGTGAGTGTACATATGCAAAGGAACCCTCCAAGTAGAGGGAAAATACTACACACACATCTATACATCTAACAGCAATTACCTCTCGGGAGTTAAATTATGAATTATATACTGCAAATGATAAATGATTTGGATTTTGATGTGCCAAACAAGTGATCTTAATTGTAGGTGATCAGCTTACTAGAAGTATTAAGCAAAGCAGATTAAATAGCATACCAGTGGCAGGAAGAACGATAGTAACCTTGTCAGAGAATGATTGCCTTTTTAGCGCTTCAAACTACAAAGGGATGAGAAAATCCCAGGTTGTCAGCACTAAATATTAATGCGAAAAGAAAAGAAAAGATAAAGAAAATGCTGCCTTGTCAGTTGTGGCTCACCCGGTAAACAATTCGACTAAGAACACCATTGTTCTCACTTGTGTCAACACGGCTGACTCTGAGTAAATCTTTAGCATTCCAGAACAACTCGATATCTAGAACAGCATAAACAATAACTTGACTATCAGTTGAAGCACAAGCCTAATACAAGGGTCCAAGTTCACGCAAACAGTAATCTTTTCTCATACCAGTATTTCCATCGATAGTAATGACACTATGATTGCAACTTGGAGTCAAATTTAACTGCATGAGATAGACACCTTGTAGTTAGTGTGAATAAAAGGCTTCATGCAATGAGCAACGAGCAGGAGAAGACACCTACTTTCCCAGATTCTTTAATGTAAAACCCTTTGACGAAAAGGGCATGTGCAGATCCTGTCACCTTTGGGTCTTCCTTTAGATTTGCACGAACCAAAATGTATAAAAATCCTTCATTCGGGTTCAACTTCACCGGCAACAGCTGTGCAGGTGAATATGGATGAAACAGGCAGTAGGATTTCTTTGTGGCATGGTCAGTCCATGGCTCAGCAAACCTAAAGGAAGCAACAAAACGATATTTCAACTTAATTATTCAGGATTAGGAAGTTGTGTATGTAATGATGTGAAGGAAACATACCCAACAAAAGAAGGGTCAACCTTGCATTCAAAGGGGACATTAATTGGGCTCACAGAGGATCCAGTGCTGTGCTCAGTTGAATCACTATAAAAAGAAATGAGAAAAGGTTAGCAGAAGTGATATGCGTTGTTACATTCCTCTGAGATTGGAGATAGTTGCAAGTACATGTTATAAACTCAATTACAGTTTAAATGGGTACTTATCCGATTTTCATAGTGACTGCACTCCTATGCATATAAATGTTGTGAGCCTCTCCTTGAAGATCATAAACTGCAGCAGATAACTTATGAATATGGAAATACTAAATGCAGTTGGTTTAGGTGGTATTTTCCATAGTGTTCATACCATGCATCATCTGTGCACTTCAAATCAGTACGTTACAGTTTTACATATTCCAAACTAGTATACCACAAATTTATGTCTGCTCATGAATTGACACAAAGTCCCAAGGAAATCACATGGGTAACATTAGAGTAGTTTCAGCTTTGATTATAATTTAATTAAAAAAATGTGGAAGAAAGGTTATCATATGAGCATTACAAACCTAAATCTCACAGAGAACTTGTATCCATCAGACAGGACAGCAGCATTAGTCAGTGTCTCCGCAGGAGCATCAACAACTATCTCATCTGGTTCACCTTGAACACGGTGACAGTTGTTTGCAGCTTAAGATTTGAACCTTTGAAGATTACTGTTTAGCAAGAGTAGATTTGTGAGAAGTTGTCATAAAAAAAGAACAGAGTCTAGTTGATAATGTATTATACAGTTATACTTGGGCGTATGGTCTTAAGAGTTAAGACTACCTTCTGCTACACCTTCACTACGTGCTTGTGCTTCACCAGTTATCCGGTTGATGTGCACGATCTTTTCATTGCTACTTAACCAGTGACCAAATCCACGCATGTCCATACCTATAACAGTAGCATGTTTAGGACCTAAGAATATTATATGGTAACAAAGATTGCTTACTCTTAATTAACTAAATACTTGATACTACGTAGCTAAGACATTAGCCGAAAACAAGCTACTTCTGACCTATATATATCACCTGATATAACCCTTCACCCGTATAAAATTTGGGAAATGCTTCAAGTACAACCACTTGAGTACAACTCAACTACTCAAGTACAACCATGCAATGCACATATGAGCTTTCCATCCAAGTGATCCCAACCATTGGATTCTGAGTTGTACTCAAGTGGTTGTACTTGAAGCATTTCCCAAATTTTATACGGGTGTACATATAGCTGTACTCGTAACTTTTGTCTTCACAGAAATAGCATATCATACTGTTAATTAGAATGTAACATTTAATGAGCAAATACAATAAAAAGGGTAGGATAAGGGATAAACTGTAAGATAGTATTAATAAGAAAATAATTTCATTGAACATACTGCCTCCGATAATAGTGAAGTTCAGGTGCTGGCCAGAATGAAGGATCACATCCTTAGGATACATTTGTGCTCCTACGGATACCTACAGAGTAAAACATTTAGAGTTGAGAAAAAGGGAGTGCTTGGGTGCATGCTCTTAACTAAAAAAAGTGAGAAAAGCATCATCACTATTTCTCTGCAGTTCTCCAGTTTAATGGCACTGCCACATCCAGAAAGTGCATAATGTTACTAATTTGGTACACTATACACAATTTTTTCCTCGAACCAGTAGGAGAACTGCCCATCATTATTGAGAGCGAATATGTCTCAGAAATTGATAGCAGTACATGGTACAATATATAGGCAAGGATCAATAGGGTTTATAGAAACATCCAATCAACGGTGATCCTTGCCTTATCAATGTAATCTATCTATCTTAACCCCTAAGGCAGCCAGCCTAACAGGCTAGGCGCCAGGCCCAAGGCCAGCCCATCAGAGCGCCTATTCTAACACGCCCCCGCAGTCGAATCGTCAGCCACTCTGCACGTTTAGACTGGACCTAAACTCCGTGTAAATTGAAGTAGGCAACCCTTTGGTAAAGATATCTGCATATTACGAAGAGGTGGGAACATGTAGAACACGAAGATCACCAACGACGACTCACTCCCGGACGAAGTGAAGATCGATCTCAATGTACTTGGTGCGCTGATGCTGAACCGGGTTGGAGGTCATGTAGACGACACTGATGTTGTCACAATACACCAGTGTGGCGCGTCGTAGAGGGGCATGCAGCTCCAGAAGTAGCTGGCGGAGCCAAGTAGCCTCTGCAACTCCGTTGGCCACCTCGCGATACTCAGCTTCAGCACTGGATCTTGACACTGTGTTCTGGCGCTTCGAGGACCAGGAAACAAGGTTGTTGCCAAGAAACACCGCATAGCCTGAGGTGGACTTGCGAGTGTCCGGACAACCAGCCCAGTCAGCGTCGGTGTAGACGACAAGATCAGTCGAAGTAGACGGTCGCAGCAGGAGACCAAGGTGAAGAGTGCCTCGAACGTAGCGAAGAATCCTCTTCAAGGCAGCAAGGTGAGGCTCACGAGGATCATGCATGTGGAGGCAGACTTGCTGAACTGCATATGCAATGTCTGGGCGGGTGAACGTCAGGTACTGGAGAGCTCCGGCAAGGCTGCGGAAGTTTGTAGCATCAGACACAGGGGCCCCATCAGCTGCAGCAACCTTCGGATTGGTGTCAATTGGAGTGGAGCATGGCTTGCACTCTGTCATCCCTGCACGTTCCAGAATGTCCAGCATATACTATCGCTATGAGAGGAGGCCATCACCACTTCGCTGAACCTGCATACCAAGGAAGTGATGCAATGCACCAAGGTCTTTCATGGTGAACTCCTGCTGAAGCGCTGAGATAATCCGCCGAAGAAGACCGGGTGAGGCCGAAGAAGACTGGGTGAGGAAGCTGTGAGGACAATGTCATCCACATAGAGCAACAGGTAGGCTGTATCTGATCCACGCTGGTAAATAAAAAGTGAGGTGTTCAACAAACCCAATAGACAGCAGGAATGAGGCCATCCGGCTGTACCATGCGCGAGGAGCCTACTTCAGGCCGTATAGGGATTTCTTCAGAAGGTAGACAAAGTCCGGGTGAGCTGGATCTTCGAACCTGGACGGCTGCTGGCAATACACAATCTCAGACAGATTGTCATGAAGGAAGGAGTTCTTCACATCTAGCTGGTGGATGGGCCAGCTGCGAGAGAGCGCCAATGAGAGCACCGTGCGAATAGTAGCGGGCTTCACCATAGGACTGAACGTCTCATCAAAGTCAACACCAGGCCGCTGGGTAAAGCCACGAAGAACCCAGCGTGCCTTGTACCGCTCAAGGGAGCCATCGGACTGAAACTTGTGCTTGAAAATCCACTTGCTAGTGACGACGTTGGCCCGAGGAGGTCGAGGCACGAGGTCCCAAGTGTGATTCTACAAGAAAGCACTGTGTTCTTCTATAGCCGCTCGCCAATTGGGGTCAGTGAGAGCGCTATGAAAGGTCTTTGGCACTGCAGAGAGGGGGGCGGCGTGGTAGGTGGCAGACATCCGATAGCCGCTCTTCGACCACATGCCCATAGCGTGCTGGTTTGTCACTGGAGTGATAGCAATGGCACCCTTGGGTAGCGGGGCGGCCGGTGCAGGAGCTGACGGAGCAGGCAGTGTCGAGGCGGCTGATACAGGAGTAGCCAGCGGTCGGGGTCGACGCGTGTAGTGGTACGTGAAGGCCCGATCCGATCGGAGAGGTGGGAACCCGGGGGGGTTCCTATGCCTGCACGTAGGGCAGGCGGGATGTAGAGCGGGGAGGCCTCTCCAGGCATGCTGGGCAACGTCGTGGTCGCGCGTGGCGTAGGAGAGGTGGTCCTGGTGGCCGCACGTGGCGTGGTAGGTGTCCCCGACGCCCGCAACACTGGTGGAATGTAGAGCGCGGGCGCCGGTGGATCATCAGCATCATCAGTAGGCAGGAGCGCCCCAGGCATAGTCGTAGTGGGACCGACGGGGGCGCTGGAGACATCAGCGGTGCTGGGTGGTGTTCCTCCAGACAAAAACTTGTGCATCGGTCCAATAGGAGGGAGCATAGGGTCAGTAGTATCGTTATTGAGGAATTGTAGGTCCGCTGGAGCACTAGGACCATGGCGCTCAGCAAAGGGAAAGGCCGTTTCATCGAAGATGACGTGTCGGGAGACGATGACTCTATTAGAGGAGAGGTCAAGGCAGCGGTACCCTTTGTGATGAGCAGAATAGCCTAGGAAGACACACAGGATAGACCTAGGGGTGAGTTTGTGGGGTGCAGTAGCTGACATGTTTGGGTAACATTTGCAACCGAAGACTAGTAGATGATCATATGCTGGTGGCTTGCCGAACAGTGCAAGGTGTGGCGTGGAAAACTGTAGAGTCTTGGTAGGCAGAATGTTGAGTAGAATAGTGACTATAGAGAGGGCCTCTACCCAGTAGGACGGAGGCATGGACGCCTAGAAGAGCAGTGAGCGAACAACATTATTGATGGAGCGAATAATGCGTTCAACTTTACCGTTTTGAGACGATGTGTAGGGACAGGACATGCGAAGGTGGATGCCCTGAGCAAGGAAAAACTGATGGGAGCTAGAGTTGTCAAACTCTCTCCTGTTGTCGCACTGAACAGCCTTGACCCGAGCGCCAAACTAGGTGGAGGCATGAGTGATGAAGTGAGCAAGCGTGCTGAAAGTGTCAGATTTAAGCCGCAAAGGAAACGTCCACAAATAATGAGCGTAATCATCAAGTATGTCCAAGTAGTATTTATAACTAGAAATGCTAACAACTAGAGAGGTCCATAAATCACAATGTATAAGATCAAACTTGCTAAACACACGAGAGGTGGACTCATGAAAGGGCAAACGAACATGACGCCCTAACTGACAAGCATGACATAACTCTGAGCAATCCTGAATATGACAGGAGACACTAGACGTGAGCTTCGACAACACCTCATGACCGGGGTGGACAAGATGCTGATGCCACAGCGGGGAGGAAGCCTGGGCGACAAGGGAGTGTGCTGGGGGTAGGCACAGAGGGTATAGCAGCCCAGAGCTATTGCACCTGACGATCTCAGTCCGAGATGGAAGAACCTTCACAGAACAACCAGCAGGGTCAAACTCAACAGAACAATTATTGTCGGTAGTAAATTGGCGAACAGAGATAAGATTCTTAATAATTTGTGGCGACACAAGGACATTATTAAGACGTAAATTACGAGACAACTCTGTAGAGCCAGTGGCCGTGACAGGAAGAAGAGAGCCATTACCGACAACAATGGATGAAGGAGTAGGGTACCGCGGGAGAAGAACATGTGAAAGAGAGGAGGACTAAGATGTCATATGTGAAGTAGCACCTGAGTCGAAGTACCACCCGTTGGACGTAGGAGGGGTCAGCAACGTTGTGCTGAAGGTGAAGGCGTGGGTCATCGGGTCCCAAGAAGGGAGGCCGACCACCGGGTTGTAATACCTAGGGGCGACCCACTGTCCAGTGCCATCAGGAGCAGGGAGGGCAGTGGCCTGCTGGTGAGTAGCAAGGGCGTGCTGCTGCTGTTGGGTGAGGAAGGCCTGCTGCTGATGCACGTGTTGTTGTGCCTGTTCTGCTGCGCCTGTAAGTGAGGAGGCACTAGAATGGGTGCCAGCGGTGGACGAGGTCCCCCTGGCCACATCTGAATGGTCCCGGTCTAGGGGTTGTAGACGTTGGGCCATGGCCGCTGGCCGGCCGGCTGCTGCTGCATTCCAGCAGGGTGCTGTTGCTATTGTGTACCACCAGAGGGGCGTGACCCCTATCCAGGAAGGCCACCACCGCTGTTGCCTTTGCCGCCACCGCCACGCTTGCTGCGATGGTTGTTAGGCGTCTTGGAGTTCCCACCAATGCCCGTGCCGGAGGACGCAGGGGTAGGGCTGGGAGTGGTGGAGGCGATGAGCGTAGTGGCAAGTGCATCCTTGTGGGTCTCCATGGTGAGTTCCTCAAGG